AGAAAATAATAATATTCATTTCAATAGACTATTAGTGAACAGTACAAACGTTAATGCGGATAAAATGTCGATAGAGTTTGTTTTAAATAAAGACTGTTGTCAATTTTTTTAGACAATGAAGGTACCGGATTGTATCATTGACGAAACAATAATATTCAGGGAAGAAAACGTTTCATGCAACAAAAATAGTTACTGAGGATGTAAAATCATATTTATATAGATTTAATACATATGAAATAGTCTAAAAAAATAGACTGGTATTGTATTTTAAATTTTTGGGAAATCTCAAATATCGAATTTAACTAACTAATGGCTAATGAAAATAGCATATAGATGAGAAATAATTACTCACTTGATGAATATCAAGAAAAGAATAACTGAATTTTACAATAGTAACAAGTAGTATCTACTAAAAAGTTAGAAAACAGTAATAACAAGTGATTGCTAAGTTTAAAAACTACAACAGTGAGAGGGGGAAACTGAACATTTTGTTTGTATCTACAGATACTTAGCTTAGATCGATGGATTACTAAAATTTTCATTTAAGCTAAATGTTTTGCTTGTATGAATTACTTTGAAATGAAATTTTGGTAGGGTCAAAATTTCTGAGGTGTTCCAAAATTGAGCTACTGCTTATTCATTTCAATAGGAATAGAAGGTAATGATCGTCAGTTGTAATCCTAATTCAAAACAATATGGACACTATTATCGTTCACAAAAATGAATACATCAAGCACAGTATCATTGTTTTATTTACACAAAAAGCTTACTCTAATCAACATTATCTTTCTTTGCAAAGAATTGATCAAAAAATAATTTACAATACTGCACTATCAGTAATTGTTACATGAATCCGATTTATTTTAAACATCATATTGTAATCATAAATAAAAATTAACTTTTGCACTGATCACTGTTTTTTTCTACTCTTTGAATGCTAATGTGTACTTTTTTAATGCTGAAACCAAGTCCTTCATACCAGTTATTATGATAACAATCACGTGTCTAATTATGTGCCTGTATTTTAATGTGCATATTAGAAACTAAGCATTTCTTGCTGTAAATATATATATATATATGCCATAAATTCTAAATTGCTTTATTCTTTGTTACTGTCAATACTGTGAGTTGACAATCTTTTAACAATCAATAAAACTTTATTTTTACATAGAAAAACAAGTTCTGAAATGATTTATTAAGTTGTACAGCAAAGTGGCCGGTGAATTAATGCAATATAAAGGTTGTTATTCAAAATATTGTATATATGATAGAAAATGATTAATGTTAAGAGAGAACCAGATGCTATGTACATAATACAGTTATCGTTAATCAGAGCATATGTCTGTCACTATCAAAATAAATTTCTTTAACCTTAAACAATTTTTTCGTTATCTGTAAGAAAAATTATGGGGTGCACTATTCTTAAAACTTCACATTTTTACGTACATTAGGCTAGTTAAGGTTTTTTTTAATATCTAAAACAAAGCAGAATCTCAGCGTCTAAATATATGATGCATATTTAACTTTACATTTTAATATTATTTTCGAAGAGTTTGAAGTCAGTAAAACAATTTCTTTTAAATGGCTTGTTTATTAGAAAAATTTATTCAAAATTATTTTCTCCTATACAGTTCAATGGCTTTTGGGCATTTATTTTTATTATTAGAAGAAAAAGGTAGGCGTATGTTTAAAACTTACACACTCTAGTTAATGGTTACTTCTAAATCCTAATTAAAGTTATTATATTTGGGTGACAACGAGGTGGGGTATTTCGTCATATTAGAAATTCTTTAATTAGATGCAACTTTCTTTTCAACGTTGATGTTCAAAATTTGACTCGAACTCAGTCCTGATCACTTCAAACTCGAACACATCCATCAAGCTATTTATTCAATGAACATATTTTTCACTATTTTTAAGTGTCTATATCATCCGGTGTCTGATATTCAGGACTTCATTTAATCAGTCTCTGTTACGACATAAACTCCTCAATATTACCTTTAGCCTCCTGGGTCCCACTTCTGGACAAGCCAGCTAGCACCTACAGGTAATATTTAAGCATTTACTCAAGGGACTCATATCTTAACAAAAACTGGTCAAGTGTACATTACTGAATATTGAATACTAGAAAATACAAAGAATTACGAATAGTTAAGAAAGTCTGTTTTTTGACCAACTCTAAATGTTCTTTTTTGTTTCCCGTCCTATAACATTTTTTAACTACTCATAAAAAATAATATCAATGAATGTTTCAACTTTTATACAACATTGCCCTATTAGCTTAGTCGTAAACGTGATGCTGAAGTTATACATATATTTTTCAGGTAGAGTCCTCAATAGCTTGTAGTGACTAACTCATTCATGAAATTGTTAACAATTACACTTTAGAATTCAGATGATTTGTCAAAACATTTTCAAGAAAACCATGATATCCAACTAATGCTAGTTGCTTATCAATCAGATCTTCATCATTTTTACTGAGTCATAGTTTGTTTAGAAATAAGCCATGTGACGAATATATTCTTGATTTGACTTATTTTACCGACAATACTTTTATTACTAAATCCTATCCGCTGCAAAGGTGGATCAACAAATTTTCTTTAAATACACAAATATGTAGGGAGTGTAATAAGCGCCATTTAGAGAAAAATGAATAATTATTCTTCACAACTTTTCAAATAATCCATTGTTTATCTTGGCTTGTCTATCATCATTTACAGCATAATGGTAGCACTAAGCTAACTTAATATTCAACTATATATGTACATTTTGACATGACGAACGTGCGTCGCTTAAAAAACCTTTGAAAACCAGGAGGTACTAGACAAATGTTTTGTCTTGAACTTAAATCTCCCCGTACATTGTTCACTTATAACTACTCACGGAAAGGAACATAAAATATTCAGGTTTTATAGTGACAATGCAACTACTGTACCAGTGGATAGAAATACGATTGTTCAACCCTTTCATTTCTTTGTCTACATTTCTTCAATCGATTTTAGTTTTTGATAAAAAGGCTGGTAACGAAATGTGTCCACATATTATAAAACCAATAAATTTGAGCAGTTATAGTAAAATAAGATGTCCGAAAGTATCTATCGATACATATGCATATAATAACCATTAAGTTAAAATGACCACTATAGATATGGTCAAAGTCAATTACTGAAGCGGTATCTTCCCTTAAAATGTCTCTGCACAAAAATTACTATATAACAAACAACTGTTTTAGACTCTTGAATGTATAAGAATTGGAATGATCATAAATTATCGTTCATTTGAATAATCTAGAACTAAATATGCTTCAAGTATGTCACACAGCACATTTTGGAGACGATGTAACCAGAGTACTGAAATGCATGAATAGTAAGCACTAGACACTAGTATACATTGTTATGTTATTTATAATAAGTGGTTTTTTATATAATAACCTTTTCCTACGCAACATAATCGTGACGACGTTTGTTTTGTGGAAAAACACTGTTTTGTAGATTGCTGCCTATTACTTAACAATATGTTGTAACCAGACACAGATTGTTTGAGACAATGTGCATGCATTAGGGTTTCTCTTGACCAGATAAAAAACTCGGTTATATTTTCATGAAACATACACCAACATATATGACTAAATGAAATTAGAAAAGCACATATAGATTAGGGATGTAAAATAAATCCAAAACGGCGTCTCAAAACACTGATTGCCCATTAGAACTTGAATAGACCATAATTGTGTAGAGAACAATATTGATGATTATGCATCAAACCCAAGTTACGAAGTTGTTAAATTAGAAATTAATACAAACAATTCTATTTCTGATTATGAAGTTATCTAGTTGATCCCTTAAACTGACAATAAATAGAGTTCCCGTAAAAAAATAAGACGCTCAGATTTATAAGTTATTTTAGACAGTTGCACCTCTGTGAAACTCTGAAACATTTAATTGACGTCATTATACAATAAGAAACCGAATTTCTAGTATTCAGAGTCTTCAATAACAATAAATTTTACTCATACTCACCGATTACGAACTTATAGTTGCTTATGAATTAGAGATTAGAACTTTACATTTCGATGTATGTAAAGAATATAATCATTATTTTTGTAAATATTAACGCTTTCTTATTCAACTAAACTAAATATTGTTTAAGGGTCCTCAAGAGTTGTCTCCATGTAACAATTTAAACCCTAATGTTAGTCAGTTCATTCAATCACCAAGCATTCTGTTTACGTTTCCTTATAACACAGTAATCGCTCATACATCTCGTTTTCGTTCACCTTCTAAAAACGTCATTCAACAAAATTCAGTTTGAGGTTACTTAGTCTGTATCACCTTTTTCCTATTGTTCATTCTAGTAAAATTAATACACCACTGTACAGTATTTATGTAAATAACACTATAAATACTAATTCAGTAATATTTAGTCACTTAAAGTTTGAATGTCACTATCCACTCAAAGCAATATATATAGTACAATCCTTGCGTCATCTAATAAAATTAAATATACAAGCAACAGTTAACATAATCTATTGTAAAGTTTTGTGTAGTAGGATCAGTGAGTAAACCGACTTATACCTATTACGTATATATACGTCAACATAATCGCCACCAATGGTTAATCTGTATTTGAAAAAGCTAGGTTATTCTCAGATGTTACAACTCTTGATTGTTGAGATGACAAGTAGACTTAACAAATGCAAATAATTTATATATAATTGTCTAGACTAATCACCATGAATTTACTTGTTCACTGTTATTATATTTTGTCTTGAACTCAATGATTTAGATTTAGCCAAGCTATCTGTATATGGAATATAATCATCCATTTAGTGTTAACTTCAAAGTTGTTTAAAAATCTACTTACTAAACGTGTACACTTAATTAAAGTGGTTTTTCGCTTTAAATGACGTAACTCAGTCTACGTGCATCAAAATCAAGATCAAACATAATCCTAATAAATTCGATAAATTATCGTTCTTTAAATTGTTTTTAAATCATCAGGTTGATCGAATATCACCATCACTTGTGTCTAGTCCAACCTCCTGCGTTCCTGCATCATCACCATCGGGTTTCCTTAACAAAAACCAATCTGGAGTACCATCGCCCATGGCATCTATATCTGTTTCACCGAACTCATCAACATCCGGACTTCCTTTGCATAATCTACCATTGAATTCGTCTTCGACTTGTACAAATGTTCAGAATCGTCTAAGATCAACTATTGCTGTAAATAATAATAACAGTAATAATAGTAACAATGGTAATGATGGCAACAATAATCAAAATATTGCAGCTACCCATCGTTCTCATCCAAATCAGTTGCCTTATCCTCATCATCAACATTCACATCAAGTAAATGAACAATTACAAACATCCGGTGGTATACAACATCAACGACAACATTCACAAGGTCTCCCTGTACAATCTCAACCAACAAGTCAATCGCTTGTAACGCATTTTCGGTTGGTTCCTTTAAAATAATCACTTTATATATATATGTATTCATATCCACACATATTTATGGAATAAAACTGTCATCTTTTACTGGACGTTTTATGAAACAGGTTTACTCAAAAATTATTTATCCACTGTCTTCGAGTTATTAATAGTATGAAAATCAGTTGTGATGAACCTTGATCATTTGACATTTTTGAAATTTGCTTTCTAGCAAATTCGAAATTGCATGACTATGGTAACCTTGAATAAAGCTTCCTAATAAAATTTGTTTATAGAGATGCTTTCAAAATATGAGTGACTCAACATAAGATATTAAACATGACAAAGTCAAATAGTGAAGACGTCAATTTCCAACAACTTGATAGTCAAGACTTTTGAGTAGTATAGCCATTACCGTCCACCCCTTCACAATATGTTATTAGAAAGCAAATAGTACTCAGATCAACATACAAACCAAGTCCCTAAAATGAGTAACTACTAATTCGAATTGTCTAGAAATATGCAAATCTTTTTAATAAGATAAGCTTGACAATCACAATCAGTGAAAACGTGAGCTAAACCTCACAAGCATTCATATTTTGTTCTGTACTCGATCTTCGGTTTTAATTTCTCTTACTTATCTGTTTTTAATGAATAATATGTTCAACAATTGATTTCCCACTCTAACTAATACTATGATTATCGTTTACATGTTTTGCTTTCCCTCTGTTATTTTACTCTTTCTCGTTGTTCGAGTTGTGACAACGCGAATCGATATTTACATTTGAGCTATCGCTTACTTCTGTTGTTCCCCTTTCAAACATTTCAACACTGTATCTGTAAAAGAACAATTAGTTCCATCCAGAACCCTAATTGGAATCAAGATAATAAAATTATTTTTTCACTAGTTAAACTGTGAAACAAAATAAAGGAACTAACATAATTTATTCCATTTTATCTCATTAGTTTGATGATTTTCATGTTTTCCATTTCACAATGATTAATTAACAACAACTGTCAGTATGCATTTCGAAATATAAAAATGATAATTTAGGCGAATATTATTTGATTAATGTGTGTAAGGTAACTTTGTATTGATTCTCTAGGAACAAATCACTTACACAATCCAAGTTACTTATCATTATTAATCACTGTAATATCTACTTCACTTTTTGTGATTAACTTGAAAAATGAATAAATTTTAAGCAAAATAATCCCGATCTAAAATCGGAAATATAATCGGCAATTTAGTTTATGGGGTTTCAAAGGAAGCCAGTTTAATTTACATGTTGTATTCGTCACAAATTAATAGTATTTGAGTTATTACTGGAAACCAAGAAACACAGAACATTCTTTCCATCTTAGTATAGAACTTTCTAGCATTGTGCATCCACGGTCGCACCAGTGATCAGACCTTTAACTTGTAGTTTGGTGATTTTTGTTATTAAGCAGCTGTGCATTAGCTTCTTCCTTTCCATTTAGGGAACAACTTTTACCTGGCAACTTAATTCTTATGCTTATGCCAGTCTTTGATAAAAATTAACTTTAAACTGTACAAAATATATACTTAAAATTTGTTTACTGCTAATAGATTTCGAGATAACCATTTCAAACATTTGATGGACTAGTAATCCGTAGAGTCGGTAAATATGAAAGTAACTCAACAACTCAATGATAAGTGAGAATCAGACTATAGATTGAATTTCATGAAGATAAAAATGTGAACGTGTGAACTTTTACCAAATGAACTGAATGTATCTTTTTCACTGCAAGTTTTGTAAGTCTCCTGATCCATCCCGTATGAGATTATGGGTGGGCACAGCTAAAAGGTTCCAGATTGGAAAAACCCTGCGTTTGATTACTCTGATTTTTAACTGTTTTTAAGTTGATGTGTATTCGATATCCTACTCATTTAAGCTTAAATCTAACTGGTTTGCAGTACGAAAATGTATGTGATTATTTTTATACAAATATAGAAACTGTACGAGTATATTGGTTCACTGTGTTATCATAAGCATTTCATGTTTAATTTTAAAAGTTAAGAGCAGTTAATCAGCTTTATCAATAGCCATCTCCCCAACCAGTGCAAAATACGCCTTCATTAATGCCATATGACACATCTATCTTTTTAATGTTACCTACTGCATGTTACTGTCATAACAACTGAATTTGAAAGTAGAAAATCACCAAGTATAATGATGAGCAAAATACATTTTAATATGCTCCAGATAAATTCATGTAATTGTAAGTTTTCCAACAACATAACTGGAAAACAAGAATGATTATATATTCAAGACAAGCAAACGTATACAAATAGATGTGTAAATTTATATTAACAAATTCTTCTGTTAATTTATGTCAAAATTCTAATCTACTATTTTTCACAGTTAAATTTTAGTTTATTTCACCGATATCATAATGTAAACGTACATAATCAGTACTGCCTAAACAATTATGATACCTAGCTTATTTTCAAAACTGTCATATTCCTAATCTGAAACTCTAAGAATAACTCATTTAAGATATGTTTATATTAAAAGTTAAATGTTCATTGATATGAAGTCGAAATATTTAAGTATTCTTAATCTCATAACTTGTACATTGTTTCCTGGCATTTATAAAAATGTACCGTCTCCAGTAATCTCATCAACTTAGATCAACTAACAAAGAGTTTAAAACTAATATGAAACTAGTTACTTCATATTTTAGCTTCAGATTATCCTATATGGTGCTTTGACAAACCGGCACATGTTCGAATCTAGAACTTCTTGGTGTTCGTAACATTAGTTTGTAGTAAGACGCTACAACCATCTAATTTAACTGGATTCAAAGCATTTGAATTCATATGGGAAATTAAATATTATCATTAATCATATGCGCCTTGAAGTTTTCAAAATGGTTTAAAAAACAGTCCTGTTGTGGAACAAAGTAATAGTTCAAGAAACGTATGATTGCGTTATGCTGTCTCCATTATTCCCTCTACAGTTACTCGATAACTCAAGGGCGAGCTACATACGTACTGATAAGTAATTATAACCATAAAATGCTAAATATACTTTATTCTCACTACTTTTCTCATTCGTAATTTTTATCATATGTTGTATAGCTCTTGTAGTCAGCCAGTTTCCATGTCCAGTGGTCGAGATTGTGGTTCCAATACAGGTGTAATACTAAGTTCAAACTCATCGGGTGTATCTACAGCCACAACAACAGTAACAGGAACTTTGGGTCAGACGCAACTTCGGATTCCTGGAAGTTTAGGTGGCATTCTATCACCAAGTTCCTCACTTACAGGTCTATGTGGTTCGAATGTAAATACTGGTCAACAAGGGTGCGTTACCGGTTCCATTAGTACATCATCTGGACAATTGGTCCAAGGACTTGAATGCTTACGATTGAATGCATCAGTTACTTCTACAAGTGCATTAAATAACTCCAATCATGTGCTGCTTGATCAACAACAAATCCCCAAAACACAAAGAGTTCAACAACCTCAATTCATTCTGTCGGCTAACTCCGGTATAGTTTATGGATCAAACATAAATACGGCTGCAGCACGACTTGTTGGCACAGTGTTACCTACTACTCCCCAACCTGGTAATCAACATTCACATCAAAGCAGTATGGATAGTGGAGTGGGTCAGTCTCTAACAGGTCAATCAAACCCTAGTGCTAATCAAACTCCTGAGCATACTGTTATGCTATTTTGTGATCCAAGTAAGTCAGATTAATGATAAAAAATTTTAGAATGGGAGTTACCTAAACTTCAGTTTTTTGTCATCTAAGGACAAGTTCAACCACTTATCTTCTCATAAAATGTTTTCTTTCTTGTCAGAATAAAAATATTATGTAAATCATAGGAAAGAATTGAAGATAACAAATTTCAAAATATATAGGTCATCAACTTCCATGTAACGTATGCCTATCGTTAAAATGAATATCCTGGCAAGTAAACAAAATTATTTGAGTCGTTTCGCGACAGTTGTCAGACGCTTATTAAAATAAACACGATTGTTGGTTTATTTGATATCATATTGAGTTAGCTTAGGTAGTACTATGTGTAAAATAGAATTATGAGCTGAGTTGATATTTTTCTTAAAATTATCATTCTACGACTGACTAGCCCTCCATGTCAAATGTGTAATCCGATTTCTAACAATATAGACTATCCAGTTACAAAACAGTTTGTCCACAGAAATGGTTTATTTCTCATGTGGTTGGCTTTTTAACAAATAACTGATGTATAAACTTATGTTTACAACTCGTTAGTAATACATACATTCATTTGTAATCTGTGTAATAATAAGTGCTATTATAAACGCTTACTCATATAAAAATCGGATTAACAATATATTAATGTATTAATGTCCCATGATATTTACTTGCTTAACATTATATAAGTAATAATAGCTGATCTTTTCAATTTCAAGTAGTTGCATACTTACGTATTTGACGTTAATTGTTATGATGCTTAAAAACATGTTAACACATATATACAACATTTCGATATAGTTGCCTTTGACGAAAAAGTACACTAATCAATAAAATGAGTGAAAATTGAGCACGACTACCAACAGTCTGTAGATTTGAATGTAGATTTTGAAGAGCTGGTATACCTTCAAATAAATTAGCTGTTCTCTTTATTCCGATACCTTGCAAGAAAAATGTTTTCTAAATACTTATCTGACAGTATATATTTCATCTACAGTCATATACCACTTTAACATACAGTTCATAGTGTGGTTATAAGCAGTAGAGTTGACGAATAGCTTTAAACTAAAAAATAAGGATATGTAATCGAGGATAATAGCTCAGACTGCTAATCAAGAAACAGTCAACCAAACGATTTCTCACACAAAAGTTCGTTCATTTCTTTCATTAGAAGCACAATACAATGACACTGTATTGCCACACCAAGATATGTTTTTCACGAACCTACGGTATTCTAAGTCAATAAGTGTTTGACTGACATAACCGTCTTTCTATGATGTAGTATCATTTTTTTTAGTCTATATGTACACCTACAAGTACAAAATCTAGTTTAAAGTTTTCGTGATGATTCTCCTCAACCAACTTATGAGAGTGTTGAGCCATAAGTCCAAGAGCAACAGTGAAACTAATGACAAAGTATGGAAGATTTTTGAAGATTGTTTTACTTTCTAGCTGACATCACAGACTGGTAAAATCTTTTGTGCTAATAATTATATGCTTCCTTATGACTAATTTCATGAGATAATAACCTTGGTTCAAGTGATAAGTTTTGACCAGTGAAGTTTAATCATATCAAATTTGTGATATTTACCTTCTGACTAGAAGTTGGTTAAGCAATGTTGTGAGTCAACTAAAGTCAAGTCCACTCAGTGTTCGAAAGGTAAAGTGTTGACCTTGAAACATAAAAGTCTTAATTTCAATCCACAATGAGGTCAAAGATGCTTACTACTACTACTACTACTACTACTACTACTACTACTACTAATAATAATAATAATAATAATAATAATAATAATACTGAGGAGTGTTTTATTATCACAAAACAATTATGAAATACTTCCTGATTTAAATAAATGTCTAAAGTCAATCCATCAACTTAACTAATAAAAACAATATGTTTGCACACAACTCAACAAGTAGAACTGGAATGTCAATAGTCATTAAATTTATTTTAATATAAATATCATAACAGCTAATACTATTTTGTACTGTATTCGTGCATTCATATATAATTGTTAAATAATAAAACATTTTGTCAATTATCAGTAGGTTGATTAATCAGTATACTTTTCTTAATAGAAAAAAAAAGCATATCTCATTGAATCTATTTATTATTGACTATCATCAGTGTATATTCAATGTAGAATAATATATGAATGTTATAATCAGTTAAATTGATAGGTATTTTCTTTTCATAAAATAATAACAATAATAATATTTTGTAGAGAAACACTTGATTAATCGCATCTTCAAATTTGCTACTTTATTTTATATAAATATAAACAATTTATAAATAATAGTAATAACAATGAATTAAAACTAATAAAAATAGTAAGTTTTTAATTGGTTTTATACTATTACTGGAGACCACCACATGATAAATCATCTCATATGTTAATGTTTTATTAATAATATTGATCAAATTACCATTATTAATCTTAATAGTAAATAAAAGTGAAAGCAAGTTTATTTTATTATTCATTATATACAATCATATCCTTACAGACAAAGAAACAGTGAGAATTTAATTAGTCTTACGTAAGATTTGTTATAAGTGTATATATATATATCAATTTAAGTTATCGTATCTTACACTCAAAGGATGTGTTATGATTATGAACAGAAATCGATTGTAAATATTTTGAAATAGAGGAAGAAGATTTATAGCCTTGATGGATGTTTCGATAGTTTTGTATCTCTTTAGTTAGATCATTTAAGTATGAAGTAATCATTGTCATTCTGCACTTATTTCACTTGGAAGAGAAATGAAAAGTGAAAATAGTTATTAGTATGACTTATAATAGGAAATTAACTGATGATTATATTATTAAAAAGGATCAAATAATTTTAAAGAATGAAGGATGAAATCACACTATAACTGAAGATATATTAGAATATTGAACAAAGAGTGCTTTATCATTCCAGACTTCCAAACATACAGTTACTTGATAGACTTCAATTAGAAATTTTGTTTACAACTATATGAACCGGTTTTATCGATCTACATGTAGTCCCACAATTCGGCCTTTAAACAGTGAATTATTTATTAGTTTTATTAATCTCATTAGTATCGATGACAATTTTCCATAAATAAAAACAGTTGAAACGTTCTCATGAATTTCTTTACTCATAAAATAAATTTATATATCCTTTAAATAATAATAAAAAAAACATTCTTTATTAATTGAGATTTGTTTAACTATGTGTATACATAAGAATAAATCCACATACATTATGTATTAATTAAGTTAGTTTATGAGTTAAAAGCTACAATCTACTTTTAGACTTAATTTTCTTTAAAGACAATCTTATATAAAACTGAATCAGTTAACAGACAAATTACTTAATAATCCGATAAAATGATCACTTTTCACTTGATAATTATTAACTGTTAGTTGGTTCGAAGTGGTTCATTTAGTGTATTTGAATAGTACATAGCAAATAAAACAACGATGATGATGATCTTGATGGTGGTGATGGAATAAAGAAGGTTAAAAAATGAAAAATTCTAGGAGCAGGCCTTACACTGATTGCATGATATTAAACTTGTAAGTATATTTAGTGAATTTTTGCTACGAACGTATAAATCCAAAGAACTGGTAATCAATCAATATGATATAAAAATTTATATGTAGCAAGCAGAATTACCACCATAATCGATGACTTTTGTTTGTTCTGAAGAAATGTTTTTATGAGAACATTGGGGTAAATCACATTTCAGTTAGAACACTATTTTATTTTTTTAATTGTCTTGCCTTATTCTCGGGGATTCAGACCAGGAAAGTGAGATAAACAACCAAAAAATAAATCATTTAAACAAATGACTCATCATGACATTTACTTTGAAATAAGATAGTTAATTGACTTTTTTCTTGAAACTTAGTAGGTGTAACCTGATTCGACAATGGATTTGTGAAAATATTTTATTTTTTATTTTGTATGTGTAGTTCCTAATCAATTGTTCTGTGAAATTTAAAAAGCTTATTTCATACTACTGATATAATCGAAAGATTGGTATTTAATAATGAAAATTGATGAGTCGTCGATAACGCATACTTAGTTGGTAAAATCCACCATAAACCTTTCATTCGGTGTATAAGAAACTCCTTGACATAATAACTATATTTTGTGGGATTTCTTTGACAGGAAAAGGTTCGCATTAGTTAAGATGGGAACGATTAAACAGTATGCCAATTATCAAAAAGTGCAAATATCGGTCATTTAAGAATGTAAAATTATAATTCAACTTACTTGACTATCCAGACAGACGTCGAAATGTGTTAAAAAAAAGCTAAGGATGGCTAGACATGATATAATGTCAGTCAGTCAATTCGTTAACTATTGTAGTAAGCCAGATGTGATGAATCATATTACCAAGGTAGGATCCGCTCGATAAGCGTAATCATTAGTTGGAGATGCTGAACAATGAGGCTTAAAACTGATGTATCAACTCTTTATCTCTTCTCAAATATTCTGAATTTCAAAGCGTTATATGGATTTATTGCAGTTTCAGAAATACATCTGTGTTGATTCTTTTTGAAATTAAAAGAAACTAACATTAAACAGAATCGTATGCTGTATAAATGGTTGATTTCTCAACCATTACGTAATATAGCTAGCTTTAAATCAACTTACACTCTGACCAAATCTTGGATTGTGTTACAGGTAACGCATTGAAATATTCATTTAATTCTGAGGATTAAATATAATGTAAGATATATGTAGTGCATTTTGAGATGGAATACAATAATCGATATTTTTCATTATTAGAAAGCCTGTTTTACCTAATTCACACATCCTAACTTTCGCCGGTAAAAGGGTATCTTTCATTATCTATAAGTTTATCGTAAACTAATTCTGTATTTCTGTATGACATGTATTTTAGAATATTAAGATATTAGTATTTTGTGGTTACCTTCTGAATGGTTTAAAAGTGATTTTGTTGATTTTATTGAGTAATATTGTTTACTGATAACGATAAAATAGATTGCATAACTAAATATAAT